GATCCTACGGGTGTATTTTAAGACGCGCTTGTCACCAAGACGTGTAGATGAGGAAGGATATATTGATATCGAAACAAAGCAAGGACATGCAGAACAAAACAAGAAAAATAATGCAACACAACACAACTACTATTTGCCAATGTGCGAGCTCTGGATAAGCACCGGTGCGTGTGGTAAAAGAAGCATGTGTGACTTTTTTTTTTTTTGTGATCGCCATGGCGACCGTGGCCAATGCGTTTCCAAGCGAAGTGCTTATTCAGAGCTCAGGGATTCATGAAAGAAAGCTTTTAAAAGGAGCAAACCTGATTGGCTGGTGCTGTTGTTGCGTAGGGGACACTTGTGGCAGGAGTTGTTGCTGCAGAGACAGTAGCAGGCGTAGCACTGTACATCATGGGTACTTTTTCAGGAAGGGAACCATGGAAGCAATGAACAGGTAGGTGGAGCATTATGGAAACCATGGCAACAGGTGTTTGGTTGGTTGATTTTTTGTTGTTTGTTTATGTTGTTTTTTTTTTTAGCAATGGTGTATATTACAGAGCAGCGAGCCATCGTTAGGTTAGACCAGCAGATGGCATGCAATCACGATGCAAAGCGAGAGAAGCATGGGGGGGGGGTAATAAAACAAAAAACAAACAGAGGAAAAAGGCTGATTATAATCACCTCAAGGAAATTTATCACCATAATCAGTTGTACCCAGAGAATCTGGCATGAGTTAGTGCAGTGATAGATTACATGTGCTGTTTGTTAGGCAGTCTCGCTCGGATCGGGCGAGACTTGAAGTATTGATCCTAGAATCTGCGCCAAACTTTAGAGAGTGGCTTTGATTGTGTGTATGTGTGTGTGTGTGTGTGTGTGTGGCTCAGATGGGTCATTTATGATTAAGTGGGCTATTTCTCTAGGAAACTGATCAAATTTCCCCAATCAACAGTACACGACACAAGACAATGCCTATTATTAACAGCCTGTTTGCTTGGGTCTGGTGTTTTCACACAAAATACTGACTTAATTTACCGTTTAAATCAAACAAATGATGAAAATAAAGATAATTTAAATAGTGTTAATTTAATAACAATGCAAACTTTAAAAATCAGCAATGAAAAATCTGATCATATTAAACAAATGTAAGATTTGTAATTAAATTGATTGTAATAATGACGCATTTCATAACAAATAAAACATGAACATATAAAGAGTTAAACCACAATAATAAACAAATCATAACACTAAACTAATTCTGAAATTATTTAAATAAAATTAATACTACAGATATATAAACCAAATAAATGTACTGTCATAATAGCAATTGAAACTATTAAACATGACTACATTTACATGGACATCAGTCATTGAATGATTTGCCTTAATCTGAATAAGACAATAATAAGATTAAGGTGTTTACATATGGAATAATAACGGATTCGTGAAAACAAAAACTGCACAAACTCGTACCTCCCGGGATGTATTTCGCGGTCTCCAGAAACATCCGCGGGACTACGTTTTCACAATGATCCTGGGTTGAAAATACTCGACATATCTTAATTCCATTTATTTTTAGTTCAATTACGACTTTAATCTGAATAAATTAATCAAAAATCGCTGTCCACATGGTAGACTCTTAATCAGACTACTGACTTCATCATATTAAAACTGGATTATTGGTGTCCATGTAAACATACTCAATAACACTAAATATCTCTAAATATAATTATTAAATTCAATACAAATTTAAAAATAAGAAAAATCTAAATAAAGAAACATTTTAAAAGTTTTAGCATTGGAAATAATAAAAGAAAAAAGACAGAATATGAATACATAAAATATCTAAAAACTGACAATACTAGCCACTATTGAATCAAATTAAATTACTTCAAACCTACAGAATAATAAACAGCACATAAGGAATTACTTTAATAGCACTTTATAGCACAAATAATAAATAATGCATTTAAAAATACGGTAAACGGCAAAACCCCAGAGAGAAAAGTGAATAGTTTAAACAAACAGAGCGTTCTTGCAGGTGAACAGAAGCAGAATACGGCCGAAATCAGATGCTGCTAGTTTGACAGAAGTTTAAGAGACATAAAAGTCCCAGTCGAGCTTCACATCACCTGTAAGAGCGACTAAATCTCTACGTGAGGTGGGGAACGACAGACGCGCACACATACGCACACACAGACAGACAGACAGACAGACAGGAAGAGGAGGAACCTACCAATGCTGCTAGCAGGAGCCATGCACAGAACTGACCCTGTGACCATGCAGTGAAGAGTGGAGAGAGGTTAATAGGGAAGAAAAACATATTAGACAGAGCCAGAGATTCAGTATTCAGCATGCCATACAAATCCAATTCAGCTTGTCATTATAGATCTCTCGCTCCACCGTGTCGTCATTCCAGTAAAACAAAAAAACTCGCAGTGTTCCAGGAAGATCAACTGGATCAATAATCGCAAGGGCCACAGTGAGAGGACAGTAGCTTAGCGGTGTGAAATTAGAGCGCAGTGTAGGAGAAGAGGAACAGGAGGCTAAAGATGGCTAAAACCAGCCACACACACACACACACACAAATACAGTACAGTCATGCGGCAAGCAAACAGTTAAAATAGACATAGTGCTGTTATAAAAGAGCCAGAGCTGGAGAAGAGGGAGGACGGCTAACAGGAAATACAACCATCATGTGGGTGTGTGATGACAAAATACACCTACGAGGGATTAGACCGCTGGACTGGCTGTGAGACCCTGGGTTTAGAGAGCTGCTTTTGTTGTAAAAATACTGCAGTAGGTGCGCCTACAGGTGCTGAGCGGCAGTAGGAGGAATGTACAGCTGATGTTTACTGTAGCGCACTGTGATTAATGTCAATGTAGGCTACAGTGATAGATCAGCCGGGCCGATACACACACATCCATATATATCTGTCTGCCTGTTGTCTTTTCTGTCTTTCTATATAATATTCCATCCATCCATCCATCCATCCATCCATCCATCCATCCATCATCTATCTATCTATCTATCTATCTATCTATCTATCTATCTATCTATCTATCTATCTATCTATCTATCTATCTATCTATCTATCTATCTATCTATCTATCTATCTATCTATCTATCTAATATTATATCTATCTATCTATCTATCTATCCATCCATCCATCCATCCATCCATCCACCCACCTATCTATCTATCTATCTATCTATCTATCTATCTATCTATCTATCTATCTATCTATCTATCTATCTATCTATCTATCTATCTATCTATCTATCTATCTATCTATCTATCTATCTAATATTATATCTATCTATCTATCCATCCATCCATCCATCCATCCATCTATCTATCTATCTACCTATCTATCTATCTATCTATCTATCTATCTATCTATCTATCTATCTATCTATCTATCTATCTATCTATCTATCTATCTATCTATCTATCTAATATTATATCTATCTATCTATCTATCTATCTATCTATCTATCTATCTATCTATCTATCTATCTATCTATCTATCTATCTATCTATCTATCTATCTATCTATCTATCTATCTATCTAATATTATATCTATCTATCTATCTATCTATCTATCTATCTATCTATCTATCTATCTATCTATCTATCTATCTATCTATCTATCTATCTATCTATCTATCTAATATTATATCTATCTATCTATCTATCCATCCATCCATCCATCCATCCATCCATCCATCCATCCATCCATCTACCTATCTATCTATCTATCTATCTATCTATCTATCTATCTATCTATCTATCTATCTATCTATCTATCTATCTATCTATCTATCTATCTATCTATCTATCTATCTAATATTATATCTATCTATCTATCTATCTATCTATCTATCTATCTATCTATCTATCTATCTATCTATCTATCTATCTATCTATCTATCTATCTATCTATCTATCTATCTATCTATCTATCTATCTATCTATCTATCTATCATTATATGTTCACACACAGATGTGCAAACTCTACATCTGAATCAATTTTCTAATGCATTCCCAGGAAACACCTTCTAAATCCACCGCTGCTGTACATGTTGACCGGTTATAAAGAGCATGTTTTGTGAGTAATATAATCCGACAGTATTACAGATGTGCAGATCAAAGCACTTCTGTGAAATCTTTCGAATGTAATCTATGGCCAATTATCATTTTCAGATCAAAGTAGCTCAAACATCCATTAAAGCTGCTGAAATTCAAATTAAGAGCGCTCTCGAATTGCATTTCGCCTATTAAAAAAACGGCGTGCATTAGTATTCCGTGCACACTCACCGCATGCAAAAGGGACAAACGGCTGTTTAAGAGCCTCGGTTATGACGGAGAAGAAAAGGGTTGAACGTTTAGAGGCTGACCCAGGGATTAATACAAAGCAGCGTGTGGGCGTTTGCATGGGTTCGTACATGTGCGTGTGTGCTTTTACCTGTGGGAAAGAACGCAGCGGTGGGCTGCTGAAGCTGTGCGCTGGCCAAAGCCTGTTGGTAGTGCAAGACACTGGGGTTGAAGAGCGTGCTGGCCCCGTTACTCTTTTCTAGTGCTGGTCTCTTTGGTAGGGGCTGCAGGACTCCATGCGGAAACGCCTGAGCGTGAAAGAGCATACATGCACCAGTTAAACCAGGTTTGCAAGCATTGTCTGACACAATAATCAATGCACAAGGTTGACTTGAAGCTGAATGGCTCCGTCTATTTTTTTTTTTAACACAAGGACGACCGTCACTAAACACTTTAGCAAGGCACTTAACGTTTACTAGGCTTCAAGAATTACGACTGATGGTAAGTTCTACATACAAGTACACTTGGTGACTTTTTACTGTTTGTATCAAAAGCAAGAAGCCAAATTAAATCACTTTTTTTTTCTGTGAGTTCTGCTACAGTACATTAAAAAAGCTACATGCAAAGCAAAAGGTGAAAGGTCATAGTACCAGATCTACAGATGCCTCGAGGGGTCGCTTCATTGCTTTGGCAGTCGACTGAGTCTTTTAATAGCAGGCAGCGAGCACATGATGGCAGTGGGCCAATGGGATTCAAGCGTATTAACATACAGGTAACAGCAAGCAGAGGTGCATCATGGGGACAGCATTGCATTGTGGATAGGTGAGAAGGAAAAAAAACAAAAACAAAAATAATCTGAATGCAGTATACCACATACAAAACAATAGGCATGCACATAAACGAAAAAACTGGTCTCAAAGAAACATCTCGCTACGTTCTGAATTAGTACGGAAGCAAAAAGCATCTACAATACCTGTGTTAAAAGCGTCAGAAATCAAAGATTCTCACCATTTACCAATCAAACACGCTAATGGGATTGTAGATATTAGTGTTATGAAAGCTCTCCGAATCGTCTTGAGCAGTAAATCAATAGAGAACAAACACTGCATGAAACACACTGACCGTTTCCGGCACCATCGAAGGCTTTCGGTATGTGTGTGTGCATGTGTGTGTGTTGGGCAAATTAAAATCGAATGATGGCAGAATGTCAGGTAGGCATTTCTTTTTAAGCAGGAACACTGTCAAGATCACTTTGAAGGCTTTGATGCATCAATCCTGATCCTACATTAACTTCGTCATTAACATAGAGTACAATCTGCACAGGCTGAGTGGGCCAATTCACCAGCCTGTGCATCATGTTACCGTCAATGCAGCTCAAACTCGGCTGCTCTTTGGGCCTTTTTAGCATACGCCATGACATTTACCACCACTTAGCAAAAAGGAAATAAGGAACGCTCTGTAAACGAGCAGAAATGCCTTCCTTGACATTCATTTCTGTCACGATATGTTGCAATTTCTTACCAGCTAACAGATTACAATGACTGTCTACGTATAAATCGTAAAGGTCACGAAGCCAAAACGACTGAAGTGAGAGATCACAGAATGTGGAGCTCTGTTTATTCTTATATTTGAGAACACGATGCTGCTTTTGGACCGCTTACAGGTATGGCGAGTTATTCGTATTGTGGCCCGTCAGAATGAGATCGTTAATATGGAGCTCTCCCTGATTTACATAGTCCTAGTTAATCAAACGCCATGCAAAAGTACTGGTAATAAGTAAACATATGGCTCAATGGAATGATGGCCAGCAAAATATTTAGTAAAAGAAAACAGGACGCTTGGAATGAGATGACGCTGAGGGCCATGCAAAATAGCTTTAGAGGCACACAAAATAAAAAAACTAGAATGCTGAAGAGAATAAAATGCATCTGTTTTTCCTATAGTGTAATCACAGGTTGCAGCAAAGGTGTTATATGATGGATAGACTTATTTAAAGACATGGACAAATATTCTGAAGCTCAGTTTAAATACCTAGTGGGCTGCATTGCATCTTCTAAAGCAGGGGTCACCAATCTCGGTCCTGGAGGGCCGGTGTCCCAGCAAGGTTTAGCTCTATCTTGCCTCAACACACCTGCCTGGATGTTTCAAGTATACCTAGTAAGACCTTGATTAGCTTGTTCAGGTGTGTTTGATTAGGGTTGGAGCTAAAACCTGCAGGACAGCGGACCTCCAGGAACAAGTTTGGTGATTCCTGTTCTAAAGCATGAGTAACTTATATTTAATTAATAACTATTAATAATTAAAGATAATCTGACTTTTTCATGTTGCTAACTAACAATAAACCAGTTAAAACATAACAAAATACAGCATAACACAAAAATATTTAGTTAAAACTTTCCATTTAAGTTATATTTCTGCACTCAAATATGATTATGAGCTTCCTGCAATGCAATCTAGGATGCAATACTATATAAAGGACTTGTGGCGTGCATTTCCAGAAAACAAGCTAAAGATATGTGCTAGAATACTCTAGTTGTGTCCAAGTAGGCAGATCAGTTGGTTGGGGAACAGAGCATGTATATGTAGACTTTTAGTAAACATCAGAATCAGATGCACTTTAATTGTGCTATGCTTTCTTGTAAGCAAGAGTTGCATGTTTTGCTCTCCTCCGCCAACATAGAGAACCATTAAAATAAATACGCCACCCACAGGAATTTATCATACAGAATTACATAACCTGCCATTGAGGCGGGGGGGCGGGGGGGACAAAACAAAAAGAAACGAATGAAAGAACTGCATCATCTGACTTTAAATGCTTTCTCTAGGGTCACATTTGGGTCGGGCGCAGGGATCGATTGCTTCTGCTTTCCTACAGTGTCCTGATTTGAACCCTAGAGAACAAAAAAAAACCTGCTCTGGTTTCTGCATGGTCATTACATCATAATCAGGGACGCCGCACCTTAAGGCTAACAGCATTTTTACCCTGAAGCCAAAGCTGCTGGTTTATCTCAGGTCGCCATATGCTTGGGAAAACCTGGGCCTTTATTTTGTTCACTGTCATTTTATTGTTATGGCTGGCGAGCTGATACTGTCCTTGCATCCCTGTCTGACCCAGCCGCCTCAGTGGAAAAAAAGACAAAAGGTTTAGGGCAAAAGCGAAAATGGTGTAAACAGCAAAACGAATGAGGCTAAGCATGTGAGTGCCATGACAGCAAACGCGGCAAAGTAAAACCACACCAGCGTGAGATGTGGAAGCGGGAAAGCTTGCTGCTGAATACCGCGTCTACACCATAAGCAAGCGACGCCACCAAATTAGATGTGTACAGTTATAGTAATATAAAATAAGACACTTCCATTCAAAATTGACAAGCTTTTTTATATTTATTGCATTGCATTTGTCGTTGAGAATTTGCAATGACGACAGTTTTGTTAACTTAAACAGGAGTTTACTTGTGTTGCATTGTGTGTATAAAACAATACAGCAGCACACAAATAGCTAGGTAAGATGTTTTAGATTTTAGATCTTTTATCTAAAAGTCGAGTCGCTTATCCAAGTTTTAGGAACAACCAATAATAACTTGACTTCTAGTTGATAATTTAGTATCAGAAGTGGCTTATATGAAAGGCAAAAGCCTCTAGATTACGCTTATTTGACCAAAATAAAATACGATGATGCCTTGATTTTTAATTATTTAATTAAGACAGTAAGGTTATTGACTTTGCTTAGACAAAAGTCTCATCACTGAACAGAAATAATGTCCAGTATAGATTATAAAGTCCTGCTGCAGTGGAGACAGAATGAATATTGTGTCTGACTCCATCATGAGCTTGGAGGACTGCATCCATACATCTCTGACATGACTCAAATCACTGATTAATAAAGGCATCTGGAATGAAGAAGAAAGCCTTCCTGCAGGACTCCCAGAGTTCGTCAAGATTCTTTGTGTTCATCTTCAATGCCTCTTCCTTCGTCTTACCCCAGACATGTCTGGTGACTGGGCTGGCCAATCCTGGAGCAGCTTGACCTTCTTTGCTTTCAGGAGCTTTGATGTGGAGGCTGAAGTATGAGGAGCGTTATCCTGCTGGAGCATTGTCCCTCTCCTGTGGTTTGTAATGTAATGGGCAGTACAAATGTCTTGATACCTCAGGCTGTTGAACTTCCAGATCTCTCGCACGCCCCCATACTGAATGTAACCCCAAACCATGATTTCTCCTTCACCAAACTTGACTGATTTCTGTGAGAATCTTGGCTTCATGTGGGTTCCAGTAGGTGTTCTGCAGTATTTGTGATGATTGGGATGCAGATCAACAGATGATTCATGGGAAAAATCCACCTTCTGACATGTTTCCCAATGATCAACTAAAAGTCAAGTAATTATTTGTTGCTCTTTCAACTGAGATCCACAACAAGAGTTTTGTCAGGTAGTGTATATACTGCACTGCATTTGTTGTCGAATTGGGAATTTGCAAGTTTGTCCATTAAAACAGGAGGTTTCTTGTGTCGCATTGGTTGCATTGAGTGCTCGCTTTCAGCAGTCTCAAAAGTTGTACAAACTGTATCTACACAATGATGAGATTTGTCGATTTTTAGCTTTTTTTAATATTTTGTATTTAGGAGCAATGCAGTTTTAAAGTGCATAGCTATTGTGTGGTGTAGATAAATAATTCTGCACGGTAACAAACTCAATTACTTCTATAATAATCAACAAAGCTTGGGAGCTTTGCTGCATTTCATCATTCTCTTCCCTTAATTTAGTTGCGTCACATTCCTTGCATGTGGTGTAAGCAAAACGAGCCCATTATAAATAACAAATCTGCAGTATCTGGTCTACAAGCATGTAATAATGAGTTTTATTGCGTCACACCAATTGTAATGTAGACAGTTATGCTGATTATCACAGAAGCAATCTAGTTTTTCTACATTGCTGACTTGCAATGTAGGCAAAACTCAGTTGCTCTCATTTCAAACAACAAATCTGTTTGCACTGCAAATGCGCAATATTGGCTTGATGCATCGCTCGCAGTGCACATCGTTTCATTGGTTTTAAAGGGTGAATTGCAGTTTTGATGCACTGCTTACCTGCAGTGTAGAGAAAACAAGAACGCTCTTATCATAATTCAATAAATCTGTCTAGACGTCAAGAGAGCAATGCAAGAAAACTGCAGGCATGCAGAGATTAACAGTTATTGATAGCATGTACTCTAATTGAAGCCACGTATGTCACAAGATGCAACAAAACTCATGGCTTGCAAATAACACTACATGGATCTCTATTGTGAGTTGATTGCTCACTTTCACCTTGGATTGCTACAAAGCTGCAAGTGAGCAATGCAAAAAAAAAAAAATAAATAAAAATAAATAAATATATATATATATATATATATATATATATATATATATATATATATATATATATATATATATGTATATATATTTGATGCTTTATGCATTGCAAGTTGCAACAAAAACTGACATCACTGGTAAATGAAACAACACAAAACTCAGCAATGTAGCTTTGCCGCATAGCTTGAAGCATAGAAAACTACAGGGCCAAGAGAGCTTAACGCGCTGCAATTTGAGAAAGCACATGCAATTACACAAAACACCAGCAAATAAAGAAACGATCTTCATCAATTTGACAGCACACGTGTTGTAACTCGGTCACAACACTTGCAAATATCCAGGTAACAAGACGGAAATGTT